ATCAAGTTCACACGAGAAGATGAAAAAAATGGCAAGTTGGCTTTCTTGGACTGTGAGGTCTCAGTCTCCGATAGAGGACATTTGCAAACTGAGGTGTACCGCAAACCCACCCACACAGACCAGTATTTGCAGTTTGACTCCCATCACCCTTTGGAGCACAAGTTAGGAGTCATCAGGACTCTGTATCACAGAGCAGACAGCGTCCCCACTAGCTCAGGAGCCAGGCAGAAGGAGAAATCCCACACAAGACAGGCTCTAGAGCAATGTGGATATCCTAACTGGGCCTTCCTGAAAGCAGAGAAGAAACCCAAACAGGACTCCAGTCAGCCAACAGGTGAAATGGAGGAACCCAGACCCAGACCAGTGGTCATTCCATATGTTGAGGGAGTATCAGAGAAACTGAGATGTTTATTTTCTAAACATAACGTCCCAGTGGCTTTTAAACCCCAAAATACATTACGGCAAAGACTGGTTCATCCCAAAGATCCAGTCCCCCAGCACAAACAGAGTAATGTTGTGTATGCTGTTCAGTGTCAGGAGGGCTGTGATCAGTCTTACATTGGGGAAACAAAACAGCCACTGGCCAAAAGGATGGCCCAGCACAGAAGATCAACATCATCAGGCCAGGACTCTGCGGTCTACACTCATCTCCTGGCCAGCGGTCACTCTTTCAGGGATGAAGATGTGCACATCCTGGATAGAGAGGAACGATGGTTTGAGAGAGGAGTAAAGGAGGCCATCTTTGTGAAAAGAAATCGTCCATTGTTAAACAGGGGTGGAGGCCTACGTGTTCAACTGTCCCCCTCTTACAATGCTGTGATTGCTAGTATCACTCAGCCCTCTGTGAATAGTAAACAGCCATCAGTGTGCTAATGATCCATTGCTAGGCTGATGGCCCTTCTTGAGCATGTGATCAGCTGGTTTTGGTTGTCAGCAGCAAAACTGGTTGATCCACTCTGAGAAGGTGCTATTTAAGAGACTGAGCTGAATACAGCACCTCAGACTGAGGAAGTCTCTCGGATGAGAGACGAAACGTTTCTACATTTTTTTGTTGTTTTGCTTTGTTTTGTTTTTTTGAATGTCCAGAGGACCAGATTTAACTTTTTTAGATAGGCTCCTTAACCTCCTTCCTGAGGGGAGTGGGGCTAAAAGTGTGTGTGCTGGGTGAGTGGGGTCCTTCATGATGCAGGTGGCCCTCTTCCTACATCTGGAGGTGTAGATGTCTGTGATGGTGGAGAGGTTGACTTCAACAGTGTTAAGGTCTGTGGATGATGTCAAAGGCAAACGGTTTGAAGCAAGGATTAAACAGCTTGAGGTAAAAAACAATTATATTTATTGGTTCAGGTGTAGCTGGTAAACTTAAACTCAGGATGGATCCACTGTGGGAATAGAGAGGAGATTGGTGGTGAACGACAAATCGTCTTGAGGAGATTTTGGAAATGTTGATAATAATCCAAAAATAAGCTTACTTGTCGTTGTTGTTCCAGGAGCATGAGAAGAGGAGACAGGATCCGAATCCAACAATCCACGGTGGGATCAGGTGAGTATATTAACGAGTGTATTTACAAAAATCACCAAGGGAGCCGGGGTGGAGGTGAGGAGAAACCAGGAACCAGGTGAGGCACACAGGAGTAAAGGTGGAGGAGGAGAAAACGCTGCTGTCATGCAGAGAGACCGATAAGGAGCTTGAAGTCAGCCAGCCAGTAGTCACAGGAACATGGTGCTTGGTAGAACTTTGCTCTGGCACTGATCTGGAGTGAAGCTCCAGCTTAAATAGCTCCTCCACCTGGTCCGGGTAATGAGCAGCAGCTGTGGAGAGATAATTAGGAAAACACAAACAACAGAGAAGGGAGGGGTAGAGGAGCCAACCTCTACAAACAGTCTTCTGTGCAGCCTTCACCACTCTCTGCAAAGTTTTTTTTTCTGCAGCTGTGCAGCCTCCATGTCACACGTTGATGCTCGAGCACAGGATGCTCTCCACTGCATGCCTGTAGAAGGAGTTGAGGACTGAGCTTCCCAGTCCACAGCTCATCTCAGCCGCCTGAGGAAGTAGAGTCTCTGATGAGCTTTCTTGATCAGGATGGCTGTGTTGCCCCAGCTGAGGTTATCATTCAGGTGCACACCCAAGTACTTTTAGCTAGAGATCACTTCCACTGCATATCCTCCTATGTTCAGGTTGGGGGGTTGGGTGGTGGTGGTGGTGGTGGTGGTGGTGAGGGGGGGGGGGGTTGTTCTTTCTGAAGTCCATGACCATCTCCTTCAACTTCTTCACATTGATGTGAAATTTATTCTCTTTGCACCAGCTCTCCAGGTGTTCCACCTCCTGCCTGTAGCTGGACTCATCATTGTTTGTAGTGCATCCCACCACCGCTGTATTATCAGCAAACTTTACAATGTGACAGCCTGGATGGGAAGGTGCACAGTCATACGTGAGCAGAGTAAACAGGAGAGGGCTCAGCACACATCCCTGAGGGGAGCCAGTGCTGCTGAGGGTTATGGTGGAGGGGGAGATGTTGTGGATCCTCACTAACTGCGATATGTTTATTAAGAAGTCTAGGACCGAGTTGCAAATGGAGGGACTTAGTCCTAGTGTGAGTAGTTTGTCCATCAGGGTTTGAGGAATCATGGTGTTGAAGGCAGATGTAAAGTTCGCAAAGAGCATACGGACGTAGGATTCCTTCTGCTCCAGGTGGATGAGAGCAGTGTGGACCACAGAGGAGATGGCATCCTATGTTGATCGATTCTCATGGTATGCATACTGATGAGGGTCCTCGTTGATGTTGATGGTTGTTTTGATGTGGGTCATGACTAGTTTTTCTAAGCATTTAGCGACTATCAGGGTGAGGGCCACTGGCCGATAGTCATTCAGACCAGTCACTGTAGAGCTCTTTGGGACTGGGATGATGGTGGCAGTCTTCAGGCAGATGGGAACTGTTTCCAGGGTAAGTGAGGAGTTAAAGATGTTGGCCAGCACCTTGCAGAGCTGATCGGCACATTCTTTCAGCACCTTCCTGAGGATGTTGTCTAGGCCAGTTGTTTTGTGAAAGTACTCCTTACTTGGGCTGAGGTCACGCTGACAAGCTCTTCATCCGGTGGTGAGATGATTCTGGTGCTGGGTGGTCTTTTTGGGTCTTCAACACGTGCGTAGAACTTGTTGAGGGCATCAGGCCGTGATGGGTATCCAGGGCATTGTTCATTCCTGCCTTTATAATGTGTTTTACACTTAATGCCCCTCTACATGGGTCTTGTGACGTGAATTGACCCTTGAATATTATTAACTTGTTTTTTATATATATATGAATGTTTCTATTCATTGCCCTGAGATGACCTCTGTTGTGACTTTGTATATACAGTAAATAAATTGAATTGAATTGACCCAGTTGTTGAAGTTTTTAGAGGACCTGAGGAGACCAGATGATGGCGATTTAGTCCAATTCTGGTCTGATGGAGGATTCTAGCTGTTCTAGTCCTGGATCTTCTCTGCTGGATGGAAGCAGATGTTTTAAATTATGCAATAATAATAATAAAAATAATATCAAAGTTCATGCTCAATAATCCAGGTAAAGAAATCCAATAAGGTTCAGTCAGGTCAGCTGGACAGTTTCTTTTTTTGTTTAGAGACATTTCACCTTCCATCCGAAGGGCATCATCAGTCTGAGGGAGGGATGAAGCGATGAAGCCCTTCAGATGGAAGGCGAAATGCCTTTCAACAAATAAAGGAACTGTCCAGATGACCTGTCTGAACCTTGTTGGAATAATAATAATACTTTATTTATAAAGCCCTTTAAAACAATCACAGCTGCAACAAAGTGCTGTACACATAAAATCAAGAAAATTTAAACAGATAAAAATATAGCAGTTGTTAAAACATTAAAATCAATAAAAACAATAAAACAGTGCAGAGCAAATTCAGTGTGAGCTAAAAGCCAGGGAGTAAAAATGTGTTTTTAAAAGAGTTTTAAAACTGGACAGTGAAGGAGCTCGTCTGATGAGAAGATGGAGATCGTTCCACAGTCTTGGAGCGGCAACAAAAAAAAAGCTCTGTTCCCTCTGAGCCTCTGTTTGGACCTCAGCATCTCCAGGAGCAGATGATCTGAGGCACCGAGCTGGAGAGTATGGGTGAAGAAGCTCAGTGGTAGGATGGAGCAAGACCATTTAAACTTTTAAAAACAAATAAAACAATTTAAAATGAACTCTAAAATGAACAGGCAGCAAGTGGAGTGAAGCCAGAGTGGGGGTGATGTGCTCCCTCTTATGAATTCCAGTTAGAAGCCGAGCAGCAGCGTTCTGGACCAACTGGAGACGTCTGAGGGAGGACTGGCTGACTCCAAGGTAAAGAGCGTTGCAGTAATCCAGCCGAGAGGTGACAAAGACATGGATTACTGTTTCCAGCTGCTGTTTTGTGAGGATGGACTTTACCTTAGCCAGCTGTCTGAGGTGATAAAAACTGGTCTTGACCACAGCTCCAGTCTGGGAATCTAATTTAAAATCACTGTCCATTTTAAACCCAAGTTAGAAACTGTTGTGTGTTGTAACAATCACAATACTGGTTTTTAGTTATCAAAATAAAAAGAGATGCCAAATGATTTAAAAAAAGTGAATAACGTCATTAAAATATGAACATTATGTAAAACCAAATGTTTTGACTAAAGCAAATTGGCATTGGCAACAACAATGTTTATTCCTAAAAAAGAATAAGAACTTCATAGGATTACAATTAGACTGTTTAACTCTGCTGAACTTGACGGTTTACGTTGGAAACCACAACATGCTCAGTCAAAGATCAAATATTGTTTCAATACTTTTTCACAAATCATGGTTTCCAACAAGAAGCAGTGAAGCTTTTTTCTGCTGACATCTGGTGGTGAGGCTCACTAAGGATTAAAACTGCTGGAACGCAAAAACAAAAAAGGAATACGATTAACAATTGGATATTTTATTGTTTTTTATTATAAACTTCTCCAAATGTGCAAAACTGTCTGTACCTAATCTGTGTTCTTTTTTTAAACAGGTCTCTCATGTAAATGAATCCTCGTGGCTCAATGAAACTCACCTGTATAAATAAAGGTGGAATGAATGAATTGATATGCCAAAAAAAGTCCATGCTCAATAATCCAGGTCTACAATCAAACAATTTTCAGTCAAATCATCTGGACAGTTTCTTTTTTGGCTGAAATGTTCCACCTTCTATCCAGAAGGCTTATTCAGTCAAGGAAACTCTCAACACAAAACTGATTCTTCCCCCAAACAGCTTACTCCAAAGTGGAACAAACCAGTTATGTTGGTGCTAAGATGGTGTCTTTGGCA